GCAGAGAGGCAAAAGGGCTAGGTACGATGTAAAATGTAACGAGGCTAGCTGGTACATCCAACCCGGTGCTAAGTCTTTTAAGGACTTGAAGCTTGCTTGTGGAAAGATTAGCTATTAATTGTTTGCCAGAGGCAACCCTTCGGCCTTTAGAGAAAATTGCACTTTTCCAATTATAAGAAAATTACCCCATGGTTCTATCCTTGAATTATTTTATCAATTAGCTAAGGGAAAATACAATCTCAGACAACGCACTGTACTGCACTGCGGCTCTGTTGTGTGACATAGTTCACGTAGCTTTCCAAAAATGCGGGCTATGACAACTATAAAATGTTGGGTCATTTTCTTCTCCAGGTGTGATCTCAGAGGTGAATGTTTATCAGCTAAAGCGAGGAAAATGAGTATTTTAAAAGGATTGCAGCTTTTCTTAAGGTTTGGAACACATACCAATGAAGTTTGGTAAAGACAACAGAGGGAAAGCAGAAGGTTGTCTAGGACTTTGTGTCAACATGAAGGCTGTACGAAGACTTTTGAATGTCTCAAAAATTTTCTTCTGACTGCAAAGGTATACTGTTTCAAAATTTGGTTTACTGATTAAAAGCTTTATATGCTTCCTTTTAGACACTCGTAAGAGGGCATCAAAAGTGCAACAGCACCTCCAAAGGACTGGAACTTATGGGACTTTATTTCCTACTATTCTGCCTCCAACTCAAGTACATAAATTTTGGTTTTTAGAGTGAGAGTCAGTATTTATGAAGATGGAATCTGAAAAATGTTGTAAATATTGTTGTACCAACCACTTATAGAGAATTGGAGTATTAAATGATGCTAAATGACGCCATAGCTTCCTCTACCAACCCTTATAAGGTGAGGTGGTACTAGATACAAGTTTTATGGAATAAACAAAACAATTACCAGTATGCTTAATAATGAACATTTAAAACCTATTTCCTACAGCCAAACAGGTCATAGTTTAGTGAGACCAGTGGCAGGAAAATAAATTTCAAAATTACTTTTGTTGATGATTTTCCACACTAACAAGCTTGAAATAGAACCTTGCATAGTATGAGTGATTTTAATCTGAATTGAGTTTTAAAGACCCTCCATATTGAAGTCACGGGCACTATTTTATAATCAAGAATAGCTAACTGGTGCTTCTCTTCATAAAAATCCCTCCTGGGTCACTGAGGCACTTGTCAGGGTTTTTTGCCATATAAATAAAAGACATGGTTGTGCATCTCTCATTCTGGTATCAGCATCTATACAAATAGCAAGATGCAATTTTTCAACATGTTAATGATGTACAACAGCAGGAAGTATTTTTACTTGAACATTTTTAGACATTTATAAACTTATTAAGAGAGAAGCTGCACGGATTATAATAGACCTATCTGGGTCCCAGGAAACAGAACTCCTCTTTGGGAAAATGTCTTTCTCATAAATTATCATTATTTGTAAAAATAAAAATTCCTAAGCTGTAAGTTTACCAAAGTTTTTTTTTTTTTTTTCCTTTGGAATCCACTGGTCTCTAATACTTATTACGTATGTATGTTGCTTATCAATTACTTATTACCTATACACATATAGCATTTATTTAAACATGTATATACGTGTACATACATAAATTTCTGGAAAATTATTAAACTTTTGCTTTTATTTAAAATAAACCACACCCATTGAAAACTGTATAAAAGCCTTCTGATAAAGTCTTATCCTAAAATGAAGTTTGTATGTATATACACAGTCAACATTAATTTTGAATACTGCGCAAACTATTTTCTAGTTTAAAAATTTACAGTGATCAACTAGTTACACACTGAATCATGGCAGGGAGCGTATAGGCTGATTGTCACTTTGAGTTCTGCCTTAATTACCCTGTTTCTAGTGCACGAACTTGCTAGCCACCTTCTTTTCTGTCCCCTTTATTTTTCTGAGAAGGGCAAAACATCCTTGAAGATCACTGTTATATTCATAGCAATCTGTTCTACGTTTATGGAAAACCTAAAAACCAGAGAAAGTCCACAAAATAACAGTCATTTCAAACCGGAGACAATGCATTTTTTTCTCATTTATTCAAATTCACTGCAGGAAGTAAACACTAAAAGATTAAAAAACAAAACAAAAAAATTCACACTGCAGTATGTACAGTTTCATGACATCATATGAAGAAATTAAATTTCTAATAAAAATGACAAATTATATTACTGAGCAGATCGCATCAAACTTGGTTGTGTAAACACCAGAATTCTTACTACGAATGGATTAATGTGCCTGTATTCCGGTACTGCTAATACCG